TTTCTTTCACTTTGGACAAGCTTCAAGTAATTTACTTTCCAGTCATTAAGTAGAATTTCTTTGTCATGTATTCTAAACATGAGTCAGATTGAAAACGAATGATGCATGTAAAAATCTTCTTTTTTTTTTTTCTGGAAAGCTCCTGCCTTTCCTGAATATCTACAACAGGATTGGAGACGGCAAAGTTAACATGACAGATAAAACAGACCTAAGTTCTTCAACACGTGTCAAACTGTGGAAAAGAGGGAGAACCTCTCACTAACACTACACAATGAGTGTAATATTTTGCTCTCTTCCAAAACACAAGTCTGCAGATATGAAAGTTCCTCCTTTTTATCAGCTTTTGTATGAACCAAACTGCTCCTAGTCTCGTGGATGGTGATGATTTTTCAGTTGATAATTTTTCTGAATTTGAGGAAGTTGACTTTGTTGGAATTTCTACACATTCTTCTTCTTCTTCTTCTTCTCTTTATTTTCTGGTGTCTGGGATCCAAAGGCTCTGCTGGGGAACCGGTATGGCCACCGAGCTCTTCCTCGGCTCATCCCAGAGAAACAGTTTGAAGTTCTTTTGTCCAAACTTTGCAAAAACTCTGAAGGCGTTAAGCAGCTGAATCAGTGGTTCTTAAAGGACAACAATGCTGTCCCGCCCACCTACGTCCTGCAGCCAATCACGGCTCACTTCCCCCACTACAGCGACCTCCGACCTGAGAGTAGGCAGCAGCATGACAGCCATGTCCTGTCCTGGCGTTTAACAGAGACTCAGCTGTTGCAGCTCCTACGATCTGCGGCCACTGACTCTGAGGCCGCCGGAGACATTACAACCGAGCAGAAACAACACTTCCACACATCAGGTGAGAACGTGGACGTGCCCCCCTCAGTCCGTCCTCTGTTGTGTCAGAGTGTTGGTGAAATGTGTTCTCTTTTTCTGTCCACAGTCACAGAGCGGGAGTTCGAGCAGGGTTTGTGGAAGGACAACCATTTGCCGCCTGCTCTGCTCTTTGTCCGAGAGATTCCCCGCCAGAGAGTGAGGGATGGTCCCAAACGTCTCGCCAAGTTCATGGACATCACCGCTGACGGGCTGCTAGACACGGAAGCTCAGGGACTCCTCAGCGGACTGAAGTCACGGCTGTACGCCACGTCGCAGCAGATCCTCAACCTGCACTGTGTGGAGCTTAGCAGAGGAAGCATCGACCCCAAGCGCAAAGAGCACGCTCAGTACCTGGACAGCGTCTGTGAGCAGTTTGTGTCGCAGATGAAGGCCCGGATCGGAGCAGCGGTGGACTTGCCGGTGGATGCCGGGCGGAGGAGGATCTGGGGAAACACTCAGGAGGAAAAGGAGGACGTGTCAACCTGGGTGGTTGAGGAGGTGATGCAACACGTAGACATGAGTGTGGAGCTGAGTAAAGGTCTCCATGGCAGGGAGGGCCTTCTGGGTAAGCTCTGCCTCGCCATGTGGGAGTCTACCAATGTCCGTCACAGCCCGCTCGTGGTACACGGCGCTGCTGGAATAGGGAAGACAGCTCTATTGTGCAAACTGGCACAAGAGATGCGAAGCGTCCTGGAGGCTGGGGTGGTGGTGGCGATCAGGCTGCTGGCCGACCGTCACCCTCAGAGACTTAACATCGACCACGTCCTCCGCAGTATCTGCCTCCAGGTGTGCCTCGCCTGTGGTCTGGCTCCGCCCTCACCTCTGACGGCCAACACTTACCTGGAGCTGCTGCGGTTCTTCAGGAACGTTCTGGCGGACGTTTCACAGCAGGGGAACACGCTGCTCATCATCCTGGACTCTCTGGACCAGCTTTCAGACCAACATCATGCTCACAAGCTCCACTGGCTGCCTCCCGATGTCCCACCTAACGTCCACCTGGTGGTCTCCATGGACACCAACAGTGAGGCATTCGCCAACATGCGGCTGAAGCTGGACTCTTTGGAGAGCTTCTTTGAGGTGGAGCGTTTGTCTCATGATGATGGCAAGCACATCATGGAGTCGTACCTGCGAGCGTCTCAGCGAACTTTGACCTCCGAGCAGAGCGATGCTTTGCTGCGGAGCTTCGAGGCGACTGGCTGTCCTCTCCACCTCAAACTGATGCTGTCTGCAGCCAAAAGCTGGACGTCCTTCACCCCGCTCACCGAGCTGCGTCTGGGCGCCAGCACGCAGGAGATGATGTCACAGCTCTTCCTGATGCTGGAGGAGAAACATGGGAAGGAGCTGGTGGGCGGGGCTTTGGGATACATCGCTTTGGCAAGGTGAGATGATGTAACTACAGAAAGATGACCAGACAACAAAAGAGTGAGCTGATAATCAAGCAAAATCCAGCTGTATTTCTTCAAGTAACTGAAAAAGAACTTTAGTCATTGGATAAAAGTTTATATATTTTTCAGCTAAATGATTCCTCATGTAGTCTGTGAAATATCAAAAAAATAGTGCAAAACGCATGCATGTTGTTTGCATCTGATAAAACACAACTATTTAATATTAATAACGGACATATAATGCATATACACATATATATATATATATATATATATATATATATATAATAAGAAGATACAAAATTACTGAACGTAAATGAACATTTTTATAACATTGATGTCTGCATCAGCTCTGTTTGCTCAAATCTTTAATCTTTATATATATATACACACATTTTTATCTTAGCTCATATATCTAGCTCCTCTTATAACACTACTTTAAGTAGTTCCCTGCTAAGTTTTAGCCTTAAACAGACATTATCTGTCATCCCAGGCGATCCCAGTACGCCTTTCTACATGGAGTTTGCATGTTCTCTCCGTGCAGCGTGGGTTCTCTCCGGGTTCTCCAGCTTCTTCCCACACAGTCCAAAAACATGTTGAGGTTCATTGGTGATTCTAAATTGTCCGTAGATGTGAATGTGAGTGTGCTTGGTTGTCTGTCTCTAAGTGTGGCCCTGCGATGGACTGGTGACCTGTCCAGGGTGTCCCCTGCCTTCACCCTGAGTCGGCTGGGATAGACTCCAGTGAGGATTAAGTGATAGATAGATAGATAGATAGATACTTTATTCATCTCCAAGAGAAATTTATTGGTGGATGTTTGTGTGAACAATGCATCATTTATTTATTTAGTTATTATATATATTTTGGGCTTTTTTTGCCTTTATGTAGAGCAGTAAAGTAGAGAGGACAGGAAAGGAGGAGAAGAATGGGGGGACACCTGTAGCAGAGGGTCGTGAGCGGGAACCCATGACCACTGCGTCGGAGACTATAGCTCCTGTTTATGGGTCGCCCGCTCAACTAGGTGAGCTATCGGGGCACCCCAATGCATCAATCACTAAAAAAAAGATTTAAAGAAGATTGTGACATCACAAATCATTCACATTATTGTCAATATCTTACTGACTTTAGACACTTTGATCATGAAACTAGTGTCAAATATTATTCTGTGTGGTTTGAACGTCTTAAGTTTAACTTTCAGAAACAAACTACAATAAACTTTGTTAATGTGAGACTGTCTGAGACTAACATGTTATGAATTCCAACTGATTTGATCATTTAATAAGTCCAGGGTCATGTCATTACAAATTACAATTAAATCTAGAACAATAGATGAACAGTGATCTCTGGATTTATTAGATCACGATTAGTGTTACTTCATTTCTTTTTTTTTGCTTCTTCAGAATTGGTCAAGAGTTTAGACGCAGCTCTGGAAGTAGATGTTTTTCTTTATTTTTTACAGTGTACAACGAAACTGACGACATCATAACTATGAAATATCACACATGAAATTTTGTAGTGATAAAAAAAATGCTGCTGCATTATAGTCACACCTCAGTTCATTTCTTTATGTTTGAGCTTTAATGTTTCTGTTCCTATAAATCATACAGGAGAGAGATTTTTTTTTAAATGTTTAAACCATTTTAATTCAGAAACAGCTTTGTCTCAATGTTGAAAACTGCTAAATAAATAAAGCTATTTCTACTATTACATTCATTATTACACAATGGCATAATCATTTAATCACTGTTGTGACCCCACAGGGACGGTCTGCTGGAGGGGGAGCTACGTGACGTCATGTCCCTGGACGACAATGTCCTCAGCGAGGTGTACAAGTACTCCCTCCCTCCGACACCTTCCATGATCCGTCTGCCTCCCCTCCTCTGGGCTCGACTCAGACGGGACCTCGAGGACCAGCTGGAGGAGCGATGGAGTGGCGGAGTCGTCGCCGTCGCCTTCAACAGCCGGTAGCAGAGAACCATCAGATCAATAATGAAGTATTAGATTAGACAGAAGGTGTATTTTAGCTTTACAGACAAGTAAAAGGACTTTGCTAAAGATGAAACTAAAAGGTACAGGTTGCTGATCGAAATTAGAAATAATGAGAACAGCTCCCAAAATACAGCTACAGTTGATCTATTGATCAAATGGAGAGACTTCAGAGGATTTTAAATACAACAATTCTCGGTGTCTCCATCAGCAATATCTGACATTTTTTCTCAACATTCGACATTAGAGAATGAGTGACCTTCCATATAGCAATGAGTCAGGGACATTGATGTTACGAAACCTGTTTTAAAAAATCTCAGCTGCAGTTCTTCCAAATCTGATGTAGCACAAATGAAGCATGACAAAGAGAAACCAGGAGGCTTCTGGATTTCAGGCATTTAGAGAGCAAAGGGCCTCAAAATTGCAGCAGGGAGTTGTATTTTCATATAAAGGTTAGCTACACGCCAGATCGTCCTCCAGTAACTAACCAAACATTCTCCACATGAAATATAGAGACATGAAATAATGTTTGAATGCCTCCATTTAGGCGTCTGTCTGAAGCGGTTTCAGCCCGCTATCTGACATCAGAGCGACGGGGGCGGTGCCTCAGGATCCTGGCGGAGTATTTCCTGGGTCGGTGGGCGGGGAAACTGAAGCCGGTGGCTCTGCCGGATCTGTCGCTGCTGCTGTCCGACAGAAAGGTACAAACGACTCCTCTGACACACAGTCACACCTGAGTATCATCTTCCTTTGTGTTGCTTCCAGTAGGGGTGATTAAAAATATTGATCAGTGGTGACAAAACAGGAATTACACAGTTTATTTATCTGTTGTTCAGGCTTCAGTTGAAACAAATGGTAGGCAGAGGGAGCAGAAACCTGACAGCAGAGGTGATTTTTTTATTGCTGTATTCTGATTGGTCTGCTGATCTCAAAGGTCCCGCCTCAGCCACTGTGGTTTGCTCCTGGATTAGCTAACATCAGGAAGCTGCAGGAGCTGCCCTACCATCTGCTGCACGCCGGCCTGTGGGATGAGCTGCAACAGCAAGTCATTGGTAAGATGCAGAAGAAGGGTGGGGTCATGTAAAAGCCCCGCCTGCTGCCACTGCGCACCTGGACCAGGTTAAGACCAGTACGGGCCACATGTGTTCCTGCGATGTAGGTACACTTGGAAATGCATATGAAAGCCAAAATCAGTTTTTATCAAGAGATTACAATCATTAAAATATAATTATTTATTACAGTATGACACAAATCATATGAAATTCACAGAATATAACTATGCATATATATAATAATATATAATAATATACTTTTACATTCATTACTGATTAAAATAATGATTATTGAGCTGATTATCTTGTTGTTTTCTAAAATGACATGAAATTGTGAAAAGTGATGACACGACTTTTAAAATTACTTTAATTTTATTCAAAAAACAGTTTGAAATCCCAAAATATTCAGTTTACAAGCACGTAAAAACAATTATTGGCATTTTGCTTGAAAATTATGTATAATTGGGGCAGATGCCAAATGTCAGGAGGTTTAAAAGTTTACTCATTATTTAATATTATTTTAAAATTAAATATATTTACATTTTCAAAACATTGCAAAGCAAGACCAGTATTATATTAAATAATAAATAACTATTACATTATTTAAAATGATATGATTACATAAAGCTAATAATCCATCTATCAATCAGCTGCAGATGTAAAATGAACATGTTATAGTCCCTTCATGTGTAGTTTTCATTTCATTTTTAAGGTGGCTTTGTTGCTTACATCAAACAACAAGTGTGTCTGATATGGCGTCTGTTTCCAGGCAGTGCTGAGTGGCTGTACTGTAAGAGCAGAGTGTGTGGGGTGTCCAGTGTGATCCATGATCTGGACCAGTGCTCCCAGTACATGGACTGCACTGAAGCTGGACTGATCAGAGACGCTCTGGTCCTGATCAAACCAAGCCTGGACTTCCTGGAAGGTCACATGGGTCAGTTACATTTATTTTTTTTTAATATTATCTGTTTTACTCCGTCACAATAAACTCTGAGTGAACTCAGTCAGTTTCATCTCTCTCTCTCTCAGACATGTCTCTGTTCTACACCGAGCTGCTGGCTCGACTCGCGTCTCTCGCCGCTGCCTTCCCCACTGTGATTGGCCAGCTGTGCAGCCAGTGTGAGGAGTGGTTGTTGTCGTGTCCAGAGCCGGTTCTCATCCCAAAGACCAGCTTCCTGCAGCAGCCAGGGGGGGCGCTGCAGCACACACTGACCGCACTGCAGGGAGGTCAGACTTTTTCAATTGATTTGTTGATTGATTTTGACTGATTATGTTCTTTAAGTCTTAAAAACATGCATGTGGAGCCTATACTGATGACATACTGTATGATGCACCAAAGGCCTTAAACAGAATTATTGTAACATGAACACTACAGTCTGAAGATAGTTTTAAAAATAAGATCAGGACTGAAGAATCGCTTTCATAGCTTGATAGAATGTAGTTCCCTGTCTGATGAGCTGCAGCTTGTTTTTACATGCTTTAATCAGCTGATCTTGATTTCAGCAGCTCCAATATTAACTGTCTTTATCACATATCTTAATTTTAATCTGTAAAGCACTTTGAATTATATTATAGTATGAAAAGCGCTTTAGAAATAAAGATTGATTGATTGATTGATTGATATCTGTCACATCACAGTGTTTAGATTAAGTCAACTGCTGGGATTGAACGCTGTGACACTTCGACAGATCAATGGCTGGCTTACCTGTTGACAGCTGAGTTGTTGGTGTCTTTGTTGTTTGTTTTTTAAATCATTTTGGGGAGAACTTTGAGCCTTCAATGCAGTGCAATTGAGGAAAAACAGAAAAGCTGTAGGAGAAGAGACGGGGACTGAGTTGCAGCAAATCTTGCCATGAACTAGAATCAATCCATCGATTTGTTTAAAAATAAAAACAACGTTATCAAGAAGAGGCAGTATGTCACTGTGAACATAGGTGTCACGCAGCAGAGCCCACAAACACATACCTAGAGTTTAATCACGGTTTTCTTTAAAGCATCACTGCGGTTGGTTCGTAGGTACTTTTGTGACCAGCGCAGCAGCACAGACTGTATCTTTGTTTCCAGGTGTCGTCTGTGTGGACATCAGCATTGAGACAAAGCTGCTGGTTGCGGGATCAGACGACGGCGCGGTGGCGGTCTGGAGCCTCGCTGACAAACAGCTCATACACACTCTGCTGGGACACACAGGTCAGCCTATTTAAAGACACATCTCAGAAAACACAAATACAGACCACACAAATGTTCAGAAAACATCAACAACGTTATAATGTCTAAATGCAGCTGTTCATTTAAAAAAGTCTGAAAGTCTGTTCAGAGCATTTTCATGTATCAACACCAAAATTCTTGAAAAGACTCACTTCAACTGCACCAAGCATCACCTGAGCTCATGTTTGAACCCTGATGTTCAGTGGTGTCAGAAAGTTTGTGAGAACTTTCTAGAGTTTTGCATAAACACGGTGTAAAAATATTCATCTTAAATTGAATAATAATAATAATAATCATAATTTCGTCTGTACTCTTTGTTCTGTAGCTGCAGTCTTGTCTGTAAAGGTGATTGACCTCTCCGCCCAGTGCCTCTCATTGGCTGCCGACAGCTCTCTGAGGAAGTGGAGCCTGACGAACGGCCAACAGCTGCTCTGTATCCAGGAGGCGATACCTGCTAACTCCATCTCCTCCTCAGTGCACCTCCGCCTGTCTGAGCAGCTGCTCTTTGTGTACACCAGGACACAGGTACTGCTATTAGTGTTACTGTCGCTACGTCCAGAAAGATCTCTCAGTAATGCTGAGAGTTAGTGAAATGAGACAAGCTTGTAGTTTGGCCTTTTGAAGCTTCAGCATTGTATCAAAGATTTAGATATTTTCATTCTTGTTCATATTTATCATGGACCTGTGGGGCTGTGGAGCTCAGTCACCCATCAGTTCATATGAGGACTGTTTACTGCTTTCTAAGTGTTGAGGAGAGGTGGGTCCGGACCTTGCTAAGGTTCTCACTTCTGCCTGTTGTCCCAGGTGAAGGTGTGGAGGCTGGACGGTTCTGAGCTCCACCTCTGCAGCAGCAGTGATGAGGCCTGGCTGGTTCTGGGAGTTCTGGGAGAATCTGTTGTCTCTCTATCAAACTCCGGTCAAGTCAGACTGTCTCATGCAGCTAACGGGACCCAAACTGTGAAACCTCAGCTGGAAAACTTAGCAAACAGTCTGACTCCTGTGATCTCTGTTTCGTTACCTAAACGAGGAAAAGTGTTTGTGGTGTCCAAGGAAGGATTCCTCCATCAGGTACGTTTTCACCTCTCTGACGGCCACCTGGGCTTTGACTGAGTCATAAAAATCACATCCTCACAGGGATTTAGGGGAGATTGAAATCCTAATCTTGCATCTGTGAAACTTTTTCCTATTTAAAAACAAGAGCCCAGAATTCAGTCTTTCAGCTCCAAATCAGATGTTTCTGTTCCAAATATTACAGTTTTTCAGGAAAATCAAACAAGAATAAATAGAAGAAGTAAGTAATATTGCTTTTAATTGTAAAGAAATGCAATTCAGTTTTTCCAATTCAATGCAAAATCAGAAATAAATATTTAAAGAATATTATGTAAATAATATAAACATTTAAAAACACATAGAAAGCAAAATACTATAGAGGAAAATATAAACATTATGAATTATATTATACATAATAATAATAAAAAGTATAAAATGTACACAATGTAAGAAAAACATTTTCAATAAATAAATGCAATAAAGTGAGAACAGGAAGTGTAATATAATACTACTACTAATAATAATGATAATAATAACAATAAAATAAAACATGTATACACATTTAAATAAATATGAATAAATGTAATTAAAACAAAATGAAAAAAATAAAAATACATACAATAAAATAAAAACAGACTCTAATCATACAAATTTTATTTCTATCTGTAGATTTTATGGTAAGTTTTATATCAGTCTTAACAGAATAACCTGAAAATTACAATCCTGGAGTCCCTTTTAAAATTGAGCCGTCAGTCCACAGATGGACTTTATGCCATGTCTGATTTTCTACCATTATTTAACATTACCTGAATGTTGCTGTTGTGATTATTTTGCTTGTGTTAAATGAAGCTGATCTTTACCTTCTGGTGTGCAGATTTCCAAGATGGGTAAACACACACCTATTGAGTTTCCTCTGCTTCCTTCTTTACTGTCAGTTACTGAAGATGAGAAAATCCTGTTGGCAGGTACGATGTTTCTTTCTTTCTTTGTTCATTGGGAAGATGTTTAGCACCATAAGCACAGCCACACACCAATCTGCTCTTCTGTTTGGACAGAAGAGCATTAACAGGAAAATGAAGCCTTTTAAGCTGATCACAATTCTTCAAATCATTGATTTATTTATTTCTGTGTTCTACAGGCAGCGAGCGAAATCTGAGCCTCTTCAACATCCACACACACTCTGTGGACAGATTCCTCGACCTCCAGCACGACGACAACATTTTGTGCGCCTGCATCTCTTCAGACTGCAGACTGGTCGTCTCTGGAGCTGCAGACCAGCTCATACGAGTAAGAGACAGGAGTAGTTACTGATGGGTTCAGCTTTACTGTTTACAACCACCCTGATGTTTTAAAATGATCAACAAAAGGCCTGAAACATTGGGAAAGTCTCAGGACAAAATGCAGCTTAGGAAACAAACGTCTGACAGTCTGAGAAACACTGACGACCTTCACAGCCGTATTATTTCCTTCGGCAGGTCTGGTCGGTGACCACTGGCGCCCTGTTGGACACTCTGTGTGGTTCAGAGGCTCCGGTCACCTGTGTGCTTTTCTATAACGGCTTCGTGGTTTCTGCCTCAACGGCTGCGTCGTCTGTCCAGCTGTGGAGTCTGAAATATGACACTCGACACAAACCCACCGCCCACATCCCTGCTGGCTCCGCCCACGTCGCCATCACCAAAGACGCAGATCAAGTTTTCTACGTGCGGCAGCAGAGCCACACGGAGGTGATGAGCTGGAACAACGTCTCAGGTCAGAGCTGGTTTTAGAGGAGCTGCAGTAAGAATCAACACTGTCAGACTGAAAACATTCTGCTGATGCTGGTTGTTACTGATTCTGCATTTCACTGGGTGGAAAAACGTTTCTGGGGCTTTAGGTTTACTGCTTTCACTTAAGACATACTCTGAAACAACATTATAAAAGTGTTAAAGAAGTTGTTGGTTAGGGACGTTGCATTTTCAATTATTAAATGTTATGTTCAGCTTTCTATTTTATTTTTTCTTATGCATTTAAAAGCATCTAAAAGGCCAACAATCTAAGTATGTGGTGACTAAATTAGCATCCAGAGTACAGATGTATGCAGTTGTCTTGCCTACAGACGTGCTGTTTACACATGTGCCATGTTTGTATTCCAAGTTTAAGACTTAAAATAAAAAATACTGTGCAAAAAAAAAAGAGACATTTTTTGAAACACAACAGTAATTTAAAAAATTAAGAAGGTTCAGGATGTTTGTGGTGTTCAGAAATTTTAGTTTCACACCAGCAGAAACTGTCGGGGGGCCCCTGGCAACCACTGAGACAAAAGATGCAAAAAGAAGACAAAAAGTAGCCACATGGAGATCAAATAGACTTAAAGTAGCCCCATTTTTTTTAATGATGCAACCATTAAAAAATAAGTAAGTCAAAGTCAAATAGATGCACAACAACTGCCAAGAGACACTAAATGATGATGAACAAACCAGACTGACTGCAAACCAACGAGCAGAACGAATGCAAAATGTACAAAAACAGACTCAAAATAACCAAACACAACTGCAAACCACTGAAGACGAGATGCAAAAGGAATACAAAAACATGCGAAACATCCACAGAGAGACAGGACAGACCAAAAACAGTTTTAAAAAGATGCGAAGAAGCACAAAAGTCATGACAAAGTAGATGCAAAACAGCTGCAAAGAGACAAAATGCAGCCAAAGAAAGCAAAATTATCACAAAGCGATATCAAACAACTAAAAACAAATACAGAACACAGAGTGCACATTTACAGCAAAGACGCTTCTGATTGCACAAAAGGAGCACAACAAAACATCTACAATGACAGTCTGGAACAGACTGTACAGAGACACCAATAAAGACAAAAGCAAACAGACCAAAACACATTAGTGTTTGTTTTGTATCAGTGAGCAGCTATTTCTTTCCTTCCCTTACAGCCACAGACAGAGGAGGGAGTTCAGAAACTGTTGCTGACGATCCAAACTCTGGGTCAACAGCCGACTGAATCCTGTGCTGCTCTTCCTGCAGGTTCTCTGTCAGAGCGTCTGGCTGTCTCTGCTCAGGTTTGCTGTCTGGAGTTAGCTCAGCACAAACGTTTGCTGCTCTGCGGTCTGACCAGCGGCACCGTCCTCATCTACCCGTTAGCCCTGCCACAGGAGACGCTCTGCATCCCGCCGCCGGAGAGCCTGTCCAGGGTGCTGTGCCTGGCCGTCAGCTCCCAGGAGAAGCACATGGCGGTGGCCTACGAGGACTCAGTGTGTGTGTTCGAGATCACCACCAGAGACAGCTTCCCCACAGTGGAGGGGCCCCTGCAGAGGTTCTCCCTGTCCCTCCTCCACGCCCCGCTGTCCTCCATGGCCCTGCTGCCCGACCGCAAGCTGCTGTACGGGACAAGCTGCGGGGAGGTGAAGCTGCACGACTTCGACAGCGGTGGAAACTCCAACCTGGAGCCCCATCGCAGCAGAGTGACCTGTGTGACGGGCAGTAACTGGGGGACTCACGCTCTGGTGGGCTCCGAGGACGCCGTGCAGAGGCTGTGGGCCCTGAACCCACTGGCCCTGGACCACACCATGGAGTACAAGGTCAGTCCTACTTCTGCTGAGTTACTGGATCTGCAAGCCTCAGAGCAGCTGACAAAGGCAGAGTGAAGTAGTAGCTTAGGGCTCAGTGTGTTTCTTCTCTTGTTTCTTTCATGGTCAGGGTTTTTTCTTCGAGGGCGTCCTCTCTGCTGCGTTCTCCGACAGCGATCAGTTCGTCTTTACAGGATCTCAGGACAGAACTGTCAAAGTCTGGGACGTGGCCTCAGGTAAGCATGTGCAGGTGTGGTTGGGCCTGCTTTCTTACTTAGACAAACAAGATAATGATGTTTTATACGGTCCTGGATCAGAACTGTATATGGTTGCATTTATAAAGAATGTTCATGACTTTTGGTTAATATGAATCTACACCAAACTTTTTTCAAATATCAGTCAATTTAACATCTGTATCTCATATAATTAGTATAAATCAGGGGCCTCTACTGATAACAAATGCATTACACTAAACTCAAAACACCAGTCAGTTTTTAATGTTGTTCTAAAGTGTTTTCAACAAGCTGAAGATTTTAAATCATCTAAAACCTAACTAGGATAAAACAATAAAACATCTATGTACATGTGAGCAGGAGTGTTGCATTTAAAAGCACATGTTTCAAAACCCCACCCAAGGATCTACTCTGTCACATATCCTGTGGGCAGAGCAGATACTAAACAACACCAACTTCTTGGAGTTGAGCCCCAAGCGGAGCCACCACTGTCGCTTAAACTTGGGCTCGTCCGGGATTTGAACCCGGGACCTCTCGCACCCGAAGCGAGAATCATACCCCTAGACCAACGAGCCACACATGTGTTGCTCTTTCTGGCCTGATCGGGATTAAAATATTGATGAGACTCTTACCTGCCAGTGTGTTTTGAAGGTAAGTTATCTTGAAAAATGGGGGGAAAACTATTTATCATCCAGAAACTGTAATTAAAAAAAGAAAAAAGAATTGTGAGGCTTTCAACATTCTGACAGCACTTTAGTGTCTCATGTGTGATTGGCTGTTCCATCTTAAAAAATGTCTTCAGTGTCTTTTTGCTCACTTGACAAAAGTCTGGAGGGTTTCCTGGTGAACTGCAGGTTGTGTTTCCACGAAGCAAAGAGGAGACAAGTGTGGAGTCAATTTAAAATGTAAATAGTTAAATTTCTATCGTATGTAGAGTTACCATGTTTTTGTCGTGCTGGTAACACCTGTGGGCCCAAGTTTTTTTGATTTTTGCAAATTTAATAATCAAAGAAATCTAACTTTTCTTTATGATTTCTGTCAATTCTAAGTGTTGTGTTTCTGTAGAGGCAGAGTTAAAGATTAATCCACAATGAGAAAAACTGTGACAGCAACAAAAAAACAGCCAGAAACATTTTGGAGTTCAGAGGGTTGTTGTCGTAGATTAATTGTAGCAAATGGACAAGACACCGAGACATATACAAAGCAATGTGGTGTACACAGTCCAGTGCAGCGAGGAATGCCCAGACTTGTACATCGGGAGACAAAACAACGGCTCCACAAGCGCATGGCTCAGCACAGAAGAGCCACCTCCTCAGGACAGGACTCAGTAGTCCACCTGCATCTTAAACACAGAGGAAGATAATAATGAACAGATTTTGGCCAGAGAGGACAGGTGGTTTGAGAGAGGGGTGAAAGAAGCCATCTATGTCAAACTGGAAAGACCATCCCTCAACAGAGGTGGAGGTCTGAGGCATCACCTCTCACTTGTTTACAACTCAGTCCTAAGAGCTCTCCCCAGGAAGATAAAACCACATTCACACCTAGACACAAAAGACCCTAATGAACCCCATTGTGGCAGGGGGAGTACGAATGACTCACATAACGAGGGGGAGGAGAAACAAACCCCCAGTTGAAACCGAAACTCAGGTGTTAATGGCTCCTTAAGGATACAAGTATCCGGAACTCCCAACTAGTCAGTCAGAACGGATGAAGCCTCTTGGATGAGAGGTGAGACGTCTTCAAGGAACTCAAGCAAGTCCAGTTGCTACGATTAATCTACGAGAATAAGCATGACCTGTATGAATCTTCACAGACAGTTCAGAGGGTTAGATAAAGTTGAAAATGGACGGACTGTTGTCTAGAATAGAACTAGCCGCCTTTAGCTCTGTCAGATGTCAGCATGGTGTAATTCTGTTTATGTCTCTCGGCTGAAGCCTGACAGGTGATCGGCAGCGTTCAGAAACCAGCAGCATCCCTGTTCTGTTTTTTTTTTTTTAGGACTCCAGCAGCAGATTCTCGTTCATCATGTTTACATGCACCAATACTAACACTTTAAAATCCTGATCAGAACAAGGACTCTCAGGTCCATGTGATCATCTGGGTCGGTTCTGCTCCGTCTTCCATCTGCTGGACTTTATTCTGTGTTTCTTTCTGTCAGGAAAGCTGCTGTACGTCCAGTACGTCTACTCCCCTGTTGTCCGGATGGTGACCTTCAGGAACGGCTTTGTGGCCTTGTCTCAGCAGGGTTCTGTCATCAAGGAGGTGTTCCGCTGTCCGGACCACATCAGCCCGGACTACAACCCCCTGAGGAACGTCAAGGCCCAGTACCGGGTCACCTCCAGGGAGAAGAGCCGGGACGACAAGCAGGACTCTGTGTCCGACCTCCAGGACTTTAACCCAGCCCAGTTCAACCTGAACCTCATGAGCATGCTCAGAGCCAAACCCTCCTCCACCTGTGTGATACTGTAGGACACTGTGGCCCAAACTCTGGCTCCTGGACCCTTTAGGGGAAGCTTCAGAAGAAATTTACATTTTTCTTTGCATTATTAAGAAACATTTTAATTTACCAGAATGAATATTTATTAATATTATGTACAGCAGACACCTGTTGTCCTGTTAACCACTGCACATGTAAATTTTCTGTAGAGCTGTTAATCATGTGAAAAATGTCCTAAAACATCTGTTTAGCTGTCTAGAATTATCTTTATTTAATAACATTAAATACTTGCTTTGTCCTGTTGAATGCAGCTGACGTCAAAAACCCGACACATGCTGGCAGAAACATTTGTGCTTTAATGTTTGTATGTGAATTTTTCTAACTGCAGTGAATGTGCAGCTGCTGTCCTCTGTAGAGAAAATGCACAATGTTCAGAGGAGTCTCTCAAGTCTGCAGGGTGAGTGTTGCATGTAAAGTTTAGAGACATCAAAATGTAGACGTTCAGCAGGATATGACTAAAATCTGGTGCCCGGACACTCTGTTGTGGTTTGATGTGGCTAACGTTGCTAACAGTGAGCAAAGGTGTCATCAAGGCAAACGGTGGCTTTTTAGAGGAATCTGAAATATGAAGAGGTTTTGATGACTTCAGTTTTGTTCTGGAAAATAGAAAAAAAGAACCCTAAATGATAAGGTGTGTCGAAACATACAGTATGCCACAAAAATGAGTCGCATTTCTGCAAATATGTTATTATATCTTTTCATGGGACAACACTGACACTTTGCTACAATTTAAAGTAGTCAGTGTACAGCTTGTATAAGACGGTAAATTGAGTACACGCCGAAGTGAAAATGTCCAAATTGGGCCTGAAGTGTCAATATTTTGTGTGGCCACCATTCTTTTCCAGCACTGCCTTAACACTCTTGGACATGGAGTTCACCAGAGCTTCACAGGTCGCCACTGGAATCGTCTTCCACTCCTCCATGGCGATGGTGGATGTTTTGATTTTTACCAGAATTCACTTTTGTGACGTGCTGTATGACTGGTATTATGTACTGAGACAAGCCTACAGTGCACTGCTTTAGGGCTAAAGGGGACCTATTCTGCTTTTCTGTCACGTTACAATGTTGGATGGTAATATTAAACATGTTATTACATGTGTGAACGTTTCACATAATGAGATAAACGTATATAAGAATAAATCAGACTTCGAACTGCTCCAAACACTCAGCTTCAGGTAGTCGTGGGTTTTGTCATGTAGCTGTCTGCACCAAACACAGGACGGCTCAGAAGCAGTGGGTGCCTCTGTTCGATAGGCTTCTTATAGTTTATTGATTGTAAGAAAGAGACAAGAGCTAAAAATGGCTTTTTCATACATATATTGTACATACAGGATGTCACAACAGAGACATTTTCACTTCTGTTGCCAGCGGTTTAGACATTAATGGCTGTATTGAGTCATATTGAGAGGCAGTAAATTTACTCAGTTATACAAGCTGTACACTGACTACTTTACATGGTAGCAAAGTGTCATTTCTTCAGTGTTGTTCCATGAAAAGATATAATAAAATATTTGCAGAAATGTGACCTGCTGTAACTCTGTTTGAACCCTGTGTGATGTGACCCATAGAGAAGCTCAGTGTGACTTTCTTATGTGATTTCTGGCTAATTCAAAGTGTGGATGGAAGCAACTCTGGACTATAGACTGTCCTCACAGAAACCGCACGTATTATATTGCATAACTTTAGGCCTTATTCCAATTTATATAAGTGAGTTATATAAAAAAGTCACCCTTAGTACAGCTGTCATGATTGGGAAAATTGGCAACAGAGATTAAAATGGTTGTTGGTACCAGCTTGTAAATGTGTTTATTTCTGCTGTAAAGGTGAACATTTTAACATGGAGGTCAGTAGTGATTGGCTCGCTTTTCACACCAAGTGGACATTCGAAGGGGAGATTTAGATCTGTAAGGATTTTTTAAACTACAAATCATCCAAAGCTTCTCCAGTAAAGTCCCAGATTAAAGATATAAGGCTGTAAATGAGCATCCTTGAAGGCAAAATCAGACTACAGCATGTTTGGTGGATACTTCAGTGCGACGTGTGTTCAGTTGAGCAAAAGCAGGAAGATGATCATCAGTCATAAACACATAAACGCCATGCCTGTAAATCACTGTTTATGGCAGTTTGAGTTACACATTAACAGAGCCGCTGGTTCACCAGCACAAAAGCAACACCTGACACACTGATCTGCACTCAGACACTCTCTGTTTAAGTCAACTGCTGCCGCTTCAGCTCCACTTGTCAACACTTTGTTTTTTTTCTCAGTCAGAGACTCAACGATGGAAAAGATGGTCACACTGGTTTCCTGTTTGCTGCTGGTCGTTGGAGTGGTGTCGGCCCAGACAGGTACGAATTCTGTAGAAACAGGTTCTATTAAAACACAGCAGTACTCGTTCTTACTCAGTCCAACGGAAGCATTTCAGCAGCTGTCCGAGAGCTGCAGCGATGGTATTTTCATTATTGATTAATGTGCTTTCCTGCTTGAATAACTGATTAACTTTTTTGAGAAAAACACTCGCTGTAATGTCTTTCTTTGTCTAATCCACAGTCAATCACCCAAAGATGTTCACTTCACTATAATATAAAACAGAAAAAAACTGAAAAGATTCACATTTGAGAAGCTAAAACAAGCAACCGTTGGCTTTTTTAGAAGCTAAATGAATATAATGATCTATACAAAAATGTGAAAATACTAAACTGGTCACTTTTTTTTAGCAGTTGGACTCTGGGAATGTTAAAATACATAATTTTATGTGAATGTTTTCACCTTGGTTTGGACTTAGAAGCGATAATAAAGCTAGTTAGGAAACAAGGAAGCAGCTTGGATTTACTGTTGTGGTCATAAATTGGAAATACTTCCTGCAAAATGTGTAAAGTTTTTCACCTGCTAAATGCTAAAATACTGTAATTGACCTCAAAGTTAAAGTACTACTACTTTGAATGAGTATTTCTGTTTTATTCTACTTATTTTTTCTTACTTTTTTTTCACACTTGTATTTGACCACTGCAGTTACTATCAATCAATACTTCTTATAGCCATTTAAATAATCTATATGTCGACTGGTGACCTGTCCAGGGTGTCCCCTGCCTTCACCCTGAGTCAGCAGGGATAGACTCCAGCCCCCTGTGACCCTAGTGAGGATTAAGCGGTGTATAGATGATGGATGGATGGATAATCCCTATTTCACCCCTGAAAGTCTCTTAATGTTGATCAAATACCTGCATGAGCTACCATCAATCATTGCTGAAAAAATATTGATCATAAAAATACCACACAGGGGAGGAGATGTCAGTTGTTTTTTCTTTGTAAAGGTGATATAAGAGCGACATGCCATAAAGTATTTTATAATTCCATTTCACTGAACCCTGGACAGCAGTAACTAAAGTGAAATGCTTGAATTCAAACTCTTAGACTGGAGTATTTAAATTTGGCCTTCTTTGTGCTGTTACTCAACGTTTCAGTTTATTTGTCGTTCATACAAAAACAATAAAATGCCAAAAATCAATCATTAATTCATTATTAATTGATAAAATTGAATATTATTTTCTTTCTCTATGACACTTAGTATCTTTGGGTTTAGGACAGAACAAGACATTCAACACTGATCGACTTTTTTTTTGATTGTTTGTTTTTTTAAACAAACAACTAATAATCCAAAAATAATCAACAGATTATTTCCCAAAGTAAATAATAATCTTTTGCAGCCATATTTCATACATTGAGGCTGTGGGCCGATTTAAAGTTGTTTTTATTTGTTAGAAATCTTAATATATACAGATAATGAAGGCATTAGTTTAATTTACCATAATTTTGCCAATAATTATCCCCAGTTTATTTAGTATTTGCTGATAGTTTATTTCAGCAGCTGAGAGAATCCAAAGTGGCGGCCACGATGCTGCCCGTCTGCTGAATGTGAACACAACACTTTCTGAAGTAAAAAGTAAAAGCTGAGGCTTTCTGAGTCACAGTTCTTGAAAGAGAACTTTATTGTTTCAACTTTAGACTTTTAACTTTTTACTCACTGTGGGCTCATTATTCACTACAATGTAAAGTCCTACATCTCTATGGAAACAACACGATCATGGTAAGGAGTAGAGAGAACCCAAGAAGGTTCTTTGTACAATATGACAGTTAAAATAAAAATTTGAGCATTTATTTCCCACTAATGGCCTCTTGGTTGCACCGAGGAGCACAGAGTTTCTTTTGTTTTCCCAGAATCTGGTACAAACTGCCTATTTTTGATATCTTTAAAGAAAACCAGTCAATTAAAGTGATTTTAATGAAATATCATAAATTTAAGTTAACTCTCCCAACAGGTTTTTGCAGTTTCTGGCTATGAAATGATGTGTTTTTGGTGATTTGTAGAGGATCGTCGCTTTTGTCATTTCAGGGTACACAGATTTGAAGCTGAGCCTGTATAAAACAGGATGACTTCTGACCTTTCACCCCTCTGTGTTTCAGTTCCGACTACGAGCAGCGAGCGGCTGCTGCCTCAGTGGGCGACCGGCATCATCGCTGTCGCTGGCTTCCTCTTCCTCTGCTTCTTCGTCTTGCTGTTGAAAAAGGCCTGGTTCGAGGACCCCAGCAGGTCAGTCAGTGTCCCACTTTGTCCTTTCTTTGACTTCTCTGTTATCCATTTCTGAGGACACATCAATTAATCAGCAGTTGTGTAAACGTTCCAGTATTAACCAGCCGGCTAATTTTTAACAGCAGTTCTTTGGTAACAGGTTGTTAAAACCATTAAAGTTGTGAAACAGATAATAATAATATACAATGATATAACACAAAAGGAGTTTTTAGTTATCTTAAATAATTGTTCATTTGAATGTGCTGCCTCAGTTTGTTATTATTTTATTTTTTATATTTATTTTGTTTCTTGTTATTATTCATACCAGGTGGAAAAGATGAAGTTTAACATTTAACAACAAGTTTAATTTACTTCACTGAAGTATTTTCTTCATCGGCCACTTTATACTTTGCACTTTTTGTCTGATTTACTTTGCAGGTTAATCTTTACCTACGTTTATAAGCTCCACAGCTGAAATGATCAATTTATCAATCAGTAATTTGTTTCCAGATTGTGCACGTGTCTGATAATCTGTGTCGCAACCAGGGAAATTAAATGATCAGAGTAATGGTTAATGACAGCCTTAAACTGATGAAAGCACGACTGCTGGTCTTGATAAAAACAATAATAAAGTCAAACTAAGCTAAAGTCTCATTTTCAGATATTTTATACCTAAAACTTAGTATTTTACTCTCCAGCAGATTTTTCGATATGATTCAATATTATGCAACCTGATGTTTGCAATTTAGATTTATTTTTTTTGTCCCCCACCTGTGTACAGGAAGAGGAACAGTGCAGACAGAATGAAAGAAACTGAGTTTGCTCTGAGCAGCAACTCTAAGATAGATGTCGACAGGTAAGAACGTCCACAAAGAGCAACCAGCAGAACATTTTTTATTCTGCTGTGGGAATTATTGAGAGCTTGCTACCCTGCATTCATTTTACATTTATATTTTAGGTGCTGAATAATCTTTAATGTAAAATCTCAGGGTTTCAGCAGCTGAAACAAACAAAGGAAGCCAATATTTTACACACAAAACTCAATAATTTATTAATAAGACACAATATCAGCAGATTTACAGCCAAAAGAAAATCCTGATGATGCTATTCTGAAATAAGTAAAATTATTCTTTCTGTTCCTGTTTGAAGGCGTGACAGTGCAACTGTCTACGCGACTACCCTGGACTTCAGGTGAGAACCTTCAAACAAACAACTGTGTGAATCACCTTTTGTGTTACGATGAACGAACACTCAAGTAAAATGTAGTTTTGTATCAAAGTATCGCATGATGAGTCGTGGTATATATGATGAGTCGTGGTATATATGATGAGTCGTGGTATATATGATGAGTCGTAGCATAGCATGATGAGTCGTGGACACAGACGCTCTCTGTTCCTCACTAGCCTCCTCCCTGAACATTCTCTGCCCTCTAACATCCAAACCTGCTCCTTCCTCTCCCCCTTGTCCATGGCTCACTGATGTCACCAGAAAGCAGAGGGCGGGGCTCAGAGCAGCAGAAACAAAATGGCGTAAATCCAGAGGGCCCTCTGACCTCAGTGACTATCAAGGTCTACTAGCATCATTCTCCTCCAGTTTAAAAACTCCTAAGACCAAGTACTATCAGAACAAGATCTGTGGCACAACAGATGCTCGATAAATATTTTCTGCTTTTAACTCACTCCTCCACCCGCCTCCTCCACCACCCTCCACTCTGCTCACTGCAGATGTGTTTGCCTCATTTTTTACAAAGTCTGTGCAACCAGTAACCAGTTCTCTGAGTCTGACCAACTCACTGTTCAGCCGCCAGCTCATAGGGTCACTTTTTCCCTGTTCTCCCCTCTGACTGAGGAGGAAGTCTCCAAGCTACTGCTGGACTCTCATCCTACGACCTGTCCTCTGGAACTGATACCATCCAACCTCTTACAAACCATTTCCTCAGCACTTAACCCTGCAATAACACATATCATCAACTCTTCACTTGCTACGGGTGTGTTCCCTGCTACATTTAAGCAAGCTCGAGTCACTCCAATACTCAAAAAAACTACACTTGACCCAGCCCAGGTTGAAAACTACAGACCGGTTTCACTACTGACCTTCCTGTCTAAACTACTTGAGCAAACTGTCTTCAACCAAGTCTCTACTTTCCTCTGTGACAACAATCTGTATGACTGTATCAGTCTGGTTTTAAACGGAAATATGATGAGCCATGGTATAGCATGATGAGTCCCAGTATAACATGATGCTCCGTACTACAGTATGATGAGTCATATTATAGTATGATATCCTATAGTATAGTATGATGTTTTGCAGTATATTATGATGTGTCATAATATAGTATATGGTGCCGTAGTATAGTACAGTGAGTGATAGTTTGGTATGTTGTGTCATACTATAGTATGTGGGGTTTTAGTACAGTATCTGATGTCCTAGTGTAGTATGATGTGATAGTGGGATTATTCTGGAACCAAATTGTCCATGCACAGATTGACTCATCAAATTGGTCTCCTCTCTACTTGTGTATGCGAAAGATTTGTTACCTTTATATCAATGCATCATGTTTGAAAAGCTCTTAATTTGTATATGTCCTGGGGTAGATGTACAGTGGTACTCAACTAGTATACAAGTATCACACTGCTGATAAAAATGAGAAACTTTAAATATAGTACTGTTAGTTCAATTTACACAGTAACTGCAGCTTTTCTAATAAAATGTGTGTGTGTGTTGTTGTTGTTGTTGTAACTCAGGAGCAATGGTCGAAATGCCTACGACAACCTGGCGATTGACATGGCTGAGGAAAAAATTACCAACATGTGACCACCCAGTACGAATCCTACTTCGTCCCCCACCGTCCTCCAGGAAGACCAGACTGACACAAAACAAACACAAAATCATCTTTTATAGAAATTGTGTGTCTGTTTTGTTTCACCTGTCTTCTCCAGCTGGAGCAGTTTACTACAAGAAATGTTTATCTGTGACTGATTTTTTCTTGTTTTTCCTGAATCCTCACATGCATCGAAGTGACACGTAATTTAACAGAAAACGTGAGATTCTTTGAATTTAGTAGCGATTGTTACTGAATCTGATCGTCAACATATCTGTTACTGTAATGCCTTGCTTAACTTAATGTCTGACCCTTAACCTATGAGCTGATTAATAAGTTATCTTGACCAACAAACTCGCTGTGTCGGCTCTCATTACTGATGAATGAAGCAATGGCTTGTGGTTAATAATTAAACATTATGGCGGCAAAGTCTAAATGGACGGAAGAAAAACAGCTAAAAGAATGAAAGGCTGAGGAGGAAAGAAAGGCCTTCAATTTAATTTACAGAGTCCTAAATGTTTTCTCTTGCTTGCTGTCGGTACTAATGTTCGATATTAGATGTTTCTGTCAGTGGTAAAATGGAATAAAGTGCATTTCCTAAAGTACATGTAAATATATAGACATACTTGCACTAAATAGTACAATATATTCTTCTGTTTGTTCTTCTTGTCTGCTATTTACAGATGGAAATGTTGATCTTTGCACTGTGTAGCCATATTTGGTTCCACTGAATCAATTAATGATAAACTATTCTGATAATCTTTATGTATCAATATATTTATGATTCAAGATTTACTGAACAGATGATACGACACTATCACCATACTACGTCACATCACATTACAGTTTCACAGGAAAGGGATCCAGAAAAGCAACAGAGGGATTGGTGGTTAGGAAAGAAGGATTTATTCAGGCAGCAAGGAACACCAGGACACCGGGAAGCATGTGAGGGAAGCCGAGTGATGGAGGGAGGTCCAGGAAAGGTTCCAAGAGGGACAGGGTGGCTGAACGGCTGAGGCAGGAGCTCGGCTGCAGAGGCCGGGCCGGGGAATATGTCGGTCTGTCTGGGAGGCTCTGGCAGTAAAACGCAGACAAAGGCACAAGTCAGGCAAGCAAGTTTTTCTAAACACAATTCCTTTAAGCCAGGGGTCTCGAACTCCGGTCCTCGAGGGCTGCAATCCTGCAAGTTATAGATGTTTCCTTCTTCCAACACACCTGATTCAAATGATCAGCTCAGCATCAAGCTCTGCAGAAGCCTGATAACGATCCTGATCATTTGAAAAAACATCTAAAACATACAGGATTGCGGCCCTCGAGGACCGCAGTTCGACACCCCTGCTTTAAGCAGTCAAGCTGGCCTGTTACCACTCACAATCTACTGGCGCTGGAGCACAGGTGAAGGCAGGCGTTATCTAGTGCTGATTAGAGATGAGTCTCAGGTGTGGAGGAGAGTGAGCGAAACCTCTCCGTCCAAAAACCCCACCCAGCCTGAAAAACACGAGCAGCCACCAAAACCACAGGAACAGACGCTAAACAATGTTTCACAATTATAGCGCTTTCATTTACAGGCCAGATGGCAGACCGCATGTATGGCGTCGCGTGGGTGAGCGGTTTGCTGATGTCAGCATTGTGAATCGAGTGGCCCATGGTGGCGGTGGGGTTATGGCAGGGGTGGGCAATCCTGGTCCTCGAGGGCCACAATCCTGCATGTTTCAGACGTTTCTCTCTTCCAACACACCTGATTCAAATGATCAGGATCGTTATCAGGCTTCTGCAGAGCTTGATGATGAGCTGATTTCAGTGCGTCATCAGCGGCCGACGTCTCTGTGAACCAATGAGCTCGCTCGAAGTGAGTCGCACATGCGTAGAACCGATCACTGCACAACAGGTGTTGCTACAAAAAGACTAGTTTCTGCTCATCCGTCTCTGATTGGTCTGAATTTACAACACAATTAAATAATAATACTGGTGAAAAATATTTGCTATAAAATAAAATAACATTAATGTTTTAAGACGTTTCTGCATTTATGAGAATGTAATAAATAAAAAAAATACCCGCCAACGTAGATTCTGCAGATTTTGTCATGCGTTAAACTCGCGGCTGTTTGAACAACAATATTCCAAGACCTGTTAAGAAAAAAAAGATTCTTGTCCTAACATTGACTGAGAATCTACAATCTCTGATTATAGGTGAGTTCGAATATGTAATAATTTGAGGTCGTCATGAAGACTTCCATCTTTGAGCTAATATTAATGTAAAAACTCAGTCAACTAGAGATATTTTCTGAACCATGTGTAGCTGCATGTCACATGAATATAGAAGAAAAAAGAAAGTTATTACTGACTGAGCAGATATGACAAGTTGTACAACATTGCATATTGTGACTCAACGTCTTGATAACAAACAGCCAAATTTGAACTTCTGGGCTTCGTTGTCCGTGGACACATCCAGGTCCACGATGGGAACGTGGAACTTGGACGAGCCTTTGTTGAACCACAGGTAGATACAGTTCCCTCCTGCTCCAGCGTTGAGGTTCTTGGGGATCCTGTGGTACCCTGCGCTGATCAGGCCCTTACTCATGTCATCGGTGAAGGAAAACTGAATCCTGCTGATGGCTCCACAGCTGCCAATTTTGTACCAAAGGTAGATTTTCTTTTCTCTGGCTCCTTTGTTCAGATCCACATCAGTTTTGATGAAGCCTTGTGCACGGAGCTGACTCTCATCGTTCTGATCCAGAGAC